CGCATAGAGCCTGCTGTTGAGCGGGGATATGCGCTATACAAATGCTATCTATTATTATTATTAAGAGGATCCGGTGCGGTGTAACGAGTGTGAGATTGCATTCAGCGAAGCCAATCTACCAAAAGCTAAGATATGTAATCAGGAGGGATGTGAAGAAAGGACACATAAAGGGCCAAAATGTAGTGGTATCAGTAGGTGGAGCCCCAGGCAAGAATGGACATGCCATGTCCACAGAAGTGAGCCTCCATTGGGTAGCGACCAACAAGCTGGAATCCTATCAAGCTCTGCTAAAGTATATTGCTTGAGTTGCAATGAGACTATCCGTAAAACTTATGGAGGTTCGTTCTCGGCGCCTGGGGTGTATTGAGTGTGGGAAATGTTGCCACAAGAAACCAGAATGTTGCATGATGACGAATGAAGAGATGAAAAGACGTCTGAACGACTGGACAAGTTGGAAATGCATTGTTAATGGGCCTGGTGGACACCACGAAGAAATCTTCGAGCGAGAGCGAGGCTCTTTTTTCGGCTCCATTGTCATTATACTCAGAGGCACCTCCACTCGTTCAGAGAGGTGGCCTGCTAGGTCGGTGCCCATCCGAAACCAACGTTTCCTGCTGTTTTTAGGCTTGACAAACTGGGAATAGAGCCGTAGAATTGGGGTAGAACTGGGAATAAAGCCGTTGAACTGGGAATATTGCCACGATTCAAAGAGGGCGCGCATTCTGGTTATTCAACAACGCGCTGTTTTGGGAGACACTTGAACGAAGAAACACAACATTGTTATTCATACCGATGCGTCAATTTCGTTGTTTACGTGTTTGATTGAACATCTAAAACTTAAAAGCGGAAAGCACCAAAATGCACACTATGGAATAAATCCAAACACACTAGAACCTGCTCTAACGCCACCTGTGTAAGACAATGATCACCCGTAGGCTACAAACAGCAACTTCCCATACCCCCATTCCCTCCCCTTTGCATTTATTTCACATTTATAATAACGGTGTAACAGACATCCACCTGTGCCACTCATACGACCGTATGCAGTTGCGAGCGCCTTAAAACCTCTACTAAAACAAACAGATATCCACCTGTCTAAGACGGCCACTTTCTCATCGAAAACGGATGGCCATCCCAGACAATTCTGATTTGTCTAAGATTGTCTCGAAAATGCCGCAACATCACCTTTCATCTGCTGATCGCATGTTGTAGGTTTTTTTGTTTTTTTGTTTGTTTGTTGTTGTTGGTGGTGTTTTGGGGTTTTTTTGTTCGTTTTTTTTTGGGGGGGGGTAGTAGAGGTTTTACAGCGCTCGCAACTGAGTAAGGTGATATGAGCGCCAATCGCCAATGTTGTAGGTCAGTAATGTTCGTTTGTAAGAGTTATAACATGTATGTTTATGTTTTGGGTAGAAATGACAGTAAGATTTTTTTTTAAACCAAGGCCTGCATTCCGTAAGTTAACAACAACCATTCATTTTCCTTTTTGTGCATGCATAATATAATTTGTTTTTAAAGACAGCTCAGTCAGTAATTGCGAAGTTTGGTTTTCTGTGACGTGTTCCTAATAATATATTAAATTATACATTCATAAAATTATGCATTTATTCTCCCCTGAAGCAAAGAGTGTAATATTCAGACTCAGCACATTGTGCGTGAGCGGGTGGTTGGTGGGTGCTCTGGTGTGGTTTGCTTCATCTTTCCTATCAAATCGCCCTG